CTAACTCTGCGGCATACATTTTTAGGATGACAGGTGAAATACCGTCCGAGCCCGATGGTTTATAAACATCTAAACCACAAAGCATTCGGCAGATCTTTCTGATAGGTCGAAAGAAGTGATTGGATGTATGGGAGGAGAGTTGAAGAGGAGAGTCAACAGACAAGGTAGAATTTTTTTATTACACACCTAGGTGTGATGAACAGCAGACGGGGTAAACACCATAGTCATGAGGACCCGCTGTTCAGTGATTGAAATCGGCAACCTAAGCCCCGGAACTTGAAGTGGCGAACCACATAAGGCCCCGATAGGGTAGGCGTGGTATTGAACCGGACGACAGCAGAGCCGCCTACCACCATAGTCGGGTGGCGGTGGTGGGGCTCGAACCTCGGACCACAGGGTCCAAAGCACGCCGGTGACAGCGACTAAACCACTGCGCCACCACCACCCTGGTGGTGGAATTGGTAGCAAACCAGAAAATGAAGAATTCTGTCTTTTCGTGAGGTTCACGAACAAGAGCACCATGGAGATTGTAAATGGGAGGAGATTTGTAAGGGTAGAAATTATGTGAAACCGCTTCATCGGGTGACTAGAATGTTTGTTAGTAGAAGCGATTGAAGCCAAGAGCGCAGTTGTGTGGCAAGTGAAGCATTCCTTGGATTTCTCTAAAGTGAGCTAGCATTTGTTTCTTGCTTGCACGAAACGGTTGAGGGATACTGGATTGAGTGGTGCCAACGACGAAATGCTGAGTTTTTAAAACGTACAGCACGGTTTTAAGCACGATTAAACCACTCAGAGGATCGTGATTAACGGGGTTAGGAAATATGTGGAATATAAAGATACACAGACGGAAGAAAACATCTGTAAAGTTTGAAACCGAAGTGGAAACATCAGCTTTGAAACAATACTCCGTTCAGAAAGTCAGTTGGCTGAATCGCAACTCCAAGAGGTGCGTCTAGAGTTTGTTGGTGAAATGGGGTGAGAGAAATGAGTGAAAAAGGAAATGAAACAATGGTCCGATGGGCCTAGTTGGGGAAAGAGAAGTGATGTTGGAGAAAGAAGAAGGAATAAATGGGAGAATGAAACGGAGGGTGTGGATGTGGTCACTAGTGCAATCGGGGATGTGTGTGAGAAAGTCAACTAGTTGACTCAGACTGTTGACCACAGCAAAGGCCTCGGTTTCGCGTCCCCCGAAAGAAGTGTCTGCGGAGTGCTTCAGCCATTCCTTGTTGTGAACATTGAAATCTCCAACAACGGTAAGTTGGCTGTTAGGATCTGTCACTATTAGTGTCTCAATGTTGAAAGATAGGATTTCAAAAATAGCAGGATTCCGAATATTTTCAACCTAGTCATAACACTGTAAGGTAGTGCAGAGGTGAGCATGATGTTATCTCTGAATGCATTAGGTTCGCAAAGATGAATTGTGCTATACCGTGTATAGGCAAAATGTATGGCGGATCGGCCAACTCCCCAGGTGGTCAAATTGATAGAATACCTGTGTTTACCTGCACATACCCGGGCTGGAACCTCAGCTGGATCAGTGGGTTGGCCCTGCTGACGAGATTGTTTTCTCTTTACGCGATGAAACTCACCAGATGATAGAAATGAATCTTCTACCATAGTGCGATTACCCCATCGTTTCACATCGCTTTGTTCTTCTTACCCATGGCCTCCAGAAATCAACTACCCCATAAACCACTCTGTGATCCGATTGGATCACCGGTTTGTAATGTTTGTGATACTCTTGTTGTCACCTGTAAAGCAAACACCACATGTTGACGGCATTGCACAGTCGAAGACCATACGAGGCATGGCAAAGACTCGGGATCGGGGACACGATAATGAAAATTCCTTTTTCTTACAACTATAGAAATAAATTTGGTTACCATCAGCGGCGGTTTGGCCGTCGCTAACTTTAGTTTACAATGACACAGGGGTCTCATCTTTGAATTGAACCGGTTGATGTTCAGAGGTACAGGGTTAAAAAATCGATGCTCATTTGGGTCGGCGGAATTTCAGAGGATCGACAGTTGTAATCGGTTAACGATGAGAATCGTTTTCCATTAGGGATGATTTAATCTAAAAATGGAAATATTTATTGCGCAAATATGGCTACTTATCAGTAGTCAAGATTATCTTATACATAAAAATTATCTGAACTCCACTAACGCTGTAGTAGTCGTCAGTATTAAATATCTGCAGACACAGTAGCTTGGGTCTCAATGACTTTGGATTGATCCAGCCGCATTGTCAAATCCATCCATTGTACTGTTATCCTAGGTCTTCACATTGTTTGGTGGTTATCTTTAGGTCACGAGCGAGACTAATGCGAGAGTTACCGATTAGCACGCATGGCTATGCATTATCAAGTGTACTGAGCGAACCAGGTCTTTTCACTACACACGTGTGGGGGAGAAACTGAACTAGAAAGTAGCGAACTACTCTTTATAATTAGAGTAACATGATATGATCTCGAAATAGTTGTTTGATCATCTACTTGATCTACACACTCAAAAGAAGGAGAAAATAAAAAACTTTCATAACTTTACTTCTTCAAGAAGTTAGTTCAACTAAAGTATGCTTTTGTGAACTGTTTGACATAGACTGAGTTCAATAACTGTCTAATGACTGGGAATGAGATAGAATAAATCGTAACCTGCTCATACCCAATTTTTCATCGGTGTCGCTTTGCTGTGTATCAACCCATCTCCGATGTGAGCACCTTTGAGGCCAACATAACTGGTAGATCGAGAACTGGCTGTAACCATGCGGATCCCAGTCATCTCATAATGTTTGTCCATGATCGTTTGAAGTTCCGCTCCGAGGGTTTTCGGTCCTTTTGGTCTCAAATTTNAATCTTTCCACTGCGGAGATTCGATAGTCCCTTCGAATATTCCACCCACGCCGCCACCGGAACCGAATCCACAGCCATTTCCGCCCGCAGTGATCCGGGTAAAATTAGGGTTATTTTGAAATACACTTTGTCGACATCCGTACGCTATACGAGGATCCGAAAACAGATCGAGATGTTGCTTCAGATTTTGTGGCATCTGTATAACATTTTCGTTAGAATTCCATCGAATATTTGGAAATTGGATGGCTGACCGACGGTGCATTTGAGGGGAGAGAACACACTGTCCGGATGATGTGAATGACTGTTCCTTCATGGACACAAACGATGGAGAAGGACTGATGTGGGGCAGTTCATTGGGTACGACCAAATAGTTGGGCACATCGGAAGTTACGATGCTGCTTCTTTTCGATTGAAGGCTGGACAACGATGGAGGCTAATCATTGCGCAAAGAGACAAGACATTAGGAGAGCGGAGTGAGCGAACTTTAAGTGAAAGATAAATTTAATTAAGGGAAAGTAGAATGTACCAAAACAAAATTGCAGGCTTTCTCGTGCGCTATAACTTTGAGCTCTTTCATGTTATGAAGGCAATTTGTTTATAAACGTTCATTCGACCCAGTATTAACCGGGCAATATTCGTTTTCTGGTCTCATGGAATCTGAAGATATTTACTCTTCAAAGAACCATGATACGGTGTATCGTACGACATTTGTGTCCTATCAAGATGGTTGGATTTCAAAACATCCATTTTATTTATCAAGTTCAAAACACCTCTTTGAACTAATTAACGTGCGCTAATCTCACTTGGTCATAATTAAATATTTGAAGCGTTGAATTCCCTTTATCCATTTCATCAATATAGGAAGAAGACAATGTCGCGAGATGCGAACATTGCGTTTATTCTCGATCACTGACTTAAAACAAAACAAGCACATGTATAGCACATGGGATTAACCAATCACGGTGAACTAACGTGTACAAAAATACGAAGATTACTAAATTTAGAAGTGGCAGGTGGCTTGATTGTATCAAAAACGTTTGTGCGCACAAGATTGGGTGATGTAAGCGACTAAGCAGTGCTTCACTCATTGCCAATAGATCAACGAAAAGCAGGATTAACGCGTGATTTGATGATCGTACACAGCACTCATAGAAAGCACCTGAAGAAAGGTGAACACTTTTATTGTGAATTTCACGTTGAAAGGCGAATAATCGATGGATTTGAAAAAAAACCTATTGGTCCTTGTTATCATTCATTGGGCTATTTATTATTCACTTACAATTTGAGTAAACGTATACCGGAACGAAATTTCCTTTAACACGCACACATACAGACAAATAAACATATCCGATCTAAATTGGACGCTGAGTTCACGTTCAAAATTCTATCCAGAATGTGTTCGGACAAAGTTAAAGGAAGAAGCTCAAAGTTGATTATGCTATGAACCTATTCACATTCATGTGGGGAACAGATGATTGTTAGCCCCGTGCTGACCTCAAATCAAAAACACTAGTCTGATCTACTAACGGCACTTGAGAATCTCGATGATGGCGAGGTTCAATTGGGGGATGGACTGGATGAGCGCCGACCGACAGGTGAAAATCAAGTCTGAAGTTGGGTCGATCAAAAGCCAGAACAAGCTTATCACATAACTACTCACAAGTAGTTTTGAGTAGAATCGCTAAATAATCTTAAAGTCTGTGATGAACCACATACTGAACACAACATAATTGGGTTGTTTTCTTGGCCAGAAGATTAGGTAAAATTTTATCACATCTTCGTTTCATTCTGTACAAAAATGAATTTGGTATTTTTATGTTTGACATAGTAATAAAAAATCTCTTTGGATTCAATGGAAAACGTTAGTTTCGGGCTCAGAACTACTCACGTTCAAATATACATCGGGCAAATCCATTGCGGTGAGCGGGCTCAATGTTGATCCGGTACTCATATACGATTGCCCCAGACCGCGTATTTGATCGATATCCTTCAGATCACCACAACTGCGTGCATCCGCTGCATTGGTCGTGGTCAGAGCATGTAGCAATTCTTCACAATTCGGTTTCCTGCTGGCAAAGTTGTCGCCTTGCAAACTGACAGCCGAATTGACCAGATGGAATGGAGTAACATTCAACAAATTCCCCGCTTTTGTGTTAGTCACAAATTGCATTCGATCTTTGCTGAAACGCCGGCTATGATACCCGCTTAGTGGACGTTCAAGTCCCCGTCTGTGACGCCGTTTCGCACTGAAAAGACAAAAGCTTGGTCGAACCGAACGGTTCAACGCTTGTCTGGTTAAACCCTCTGCCTGGTTCTTTGATCTTGAAAGCTCCGCTTGATTTTGGAATGATTGAGCACTGACCGGGACATCGGATTTCACAGTCCCGTCGCCAAGCACATTCAGTGAGGGTATGGTCAGCGTGACCACATTTGGAGACATTTCAGTTCCGGTCGGACTGGACCCGTCAGTGGTGAATACACTGGACTGATTATCAGAACAAGCGTTTGCAGAATATTGACTAGGATCACTATCGTGAGAACGAAATATCGATTGAACAGTATCACTCGTGTTTCTATCCGTTGGTTCCAGTCCCGGGGTCGAATCATTTCGATCGAAGCAAGCATTCTGCCAGGTGCAAAAGGCGTACAATACAGTAGTGGAGATTTGCGTTGAAATTTAATCAGCATAGAATGGACTCACTGGCAAGAGCAAGATACCATTCAAAAATTACAGTTCTAATAAAAGAAGAATGTGAAACCGATTAAACCTGGTGGTCTCCAGTGCGGACGTGGCTGCGAACAGATGTAATCAACTCAGATTAAGGTGACAGAAATAAGAGGAATGCACTTGTGGTGGAGAATAGAGTAGTAACCGAGATATCAGCTGATTCCTGTCGGTTCTCTGGAAACAGATATAGGCAGTGGACCGGAATCGTGAGGAGTAGGTTAGCAGTCTAAGAGGATTATTTTTTTCTTCTTGTTTTGGGATTATTAACCTCAGTCTGGCAAGAATTTTGTAATTGATTCTGTGGAGGATTTTACGCACCACTTCTCGGTCACTGCAGACCTAGCATTAAGATATGCTTGTATCAGATGTGATGGTTTTTGTTTGAAGATGGAATCTCAACGGGTGATTTTTAGCAAACGTATAAAGCAGACGGAGCGCACCCATGTAGGATTTTATTAAAACTTCAATCGAAGTGGCATATGCATTTTATTTTTCAGAAAAAGTATGTGATGCATACAGATGGAATAGAATAACTGACATGAAGAAGCTTATTTCACTGCCACTGGTACACATCATCATCATCATCATCATCATCATCATCATCATCATCAGCGTCGTCAATAAACCCTCTAAACTCACACTGAAACAAACGACAATCATTATGAAATGATATGCTACCGAATGTAACCACTGCTCTGTTAGTCGTGTAAACGTTTTCTGCGTTGTACAGAACAGACCACTTCGTCTATTTGTACTATTTTAACTGGATGAGAAGTTGCTTGTTGAGAAACTGTAATAGCACGAAGCTTTATTGAGAAAACTCCACAAATGTTCTGTTTAATTTGCTGAATAGTGCTATGGAGCACGAACAAGCTTGTTTTCATTGATTACTGTTCAGGCCAAAACATCACGACGCCTAACACTGATGCAGAAAAATTACTTTTTTGGGAAATAGCTAATTCACCATTGAGATTTCTAATGTGTGTGTGTGTGTATGTGGGGAGTTGTTTTATATTGAAACCGGTTGCAATACTCACAACAATTAAGCGGTCATTTTTATTTAGTCGATCATCTCAATTACTTGTTGTATAGCTTTCTTTATTTTTTGCAGTGAGTGGGGATGGGTGGGTGAAGGGGAAATAGGAGTGCTGAAATGCCTGAACAAAGTGCTATTCAGCACAGAGCGGGTGAGGAAATCCTAACGCTTTCGCAATGGCTGGCAGATTAGGGCAAACCTAATCTGGCAGTCTACCATGAACAACAAATGGATGCTGTGTGCCTTCATAGTGTAGTGTAGTGTGTCTAAACTAAGTCGTACTATGAACCTGTTATGTGAACCTGTTATGTTATGTTTTTGTACTGTCCTCCGGAACATGGATTTTGTACGTATTCTCGCTTGCTCAAATTTGGCATCAATTATGTTGTATGTCAGGTCTGTATCGTTCACAACTCCCAGTTTGCTCCATTTTCTTGGAAAGGCAAATACTGGGTCGAAATTGTAAATCAATCAGAGTATTATGCGCTGTTTGAATGTGTTTGAACGCGCTTTAGAATGACTGACTCTAAAATGCGCCGTTTAGCCCCAAAATGTTCAGCAGCAGCAGTAGTAGCAGCAGCAGCAGCAGCAGCAGCAGCAGCAGCAGCAGCAGCAGCAGCAGCAGCAGCAGCAGCAGATCAACGAACATCCCAAGTGAATGATATCTCTTTAGTTTCAGTCTTTTTCTTTGGAAGAGGTGGGGCAGGGCGGGGAAAAAAGGGAAAAGCAGTCTGATCAGCTGCCTGGTGGCCGGGTGGGCAGCATGCTTGCGTTCTGCCTGTGAGGTCCAGGGATTTGATCCTTGGTTGGGTCGATGGATTCGCTGAATGCAG